TATGGCTGTGTTTAGTTATTGTAATAAAAGGTATTATTGTGACACTAAAGTTCATGGAACATCAAACATGTTAGGACACTTAAAATGTTGCTTTAAATGTACATACGCTATTAGCAATGATCCCAGCCAAAGAATTCTTACTTTTGGTCCTATTAAGAGTGGATAGAATTGTAATTTGATTGCTGCAAGTCAGAGATTCAATGTAGAAGCATGTAGAAATACTTTGGCCTTATTTGTCACCTTAGATGAACAACCTTTCAAAGTTGTTGAGGGTGAGGGATTCAAGATTATTTGTAAATAATTGTAACCCCAATTTGTTGTGCCTTCAAGATATATTGTGCCTAGAAATTGTTTTAAATTTTATGAAGCTATGAAGACAAGATTAAAAGCTCTTTTAAGATCAAATTATAATAGACTTTGCCTCATTATTAATTGCTAGACTTCTATTCTAAATCTTAATTACTTAACCCTCCCAACTCATTTCATAGATAATGAATGGAATTACCAGAAAATAATCATAAGTTTTTCAGTTGTTCCCAATCATAAAGGTGAGACCATAGGAAAGCATATTGAGGACATCTTAAGAGTCTGGAGCCTTAGAAATGTATTTAGTATCACTGTTAATAATGCTTCTTCCAATGATGTGGCTGTGGGTTATTTGAAAAAAAAGAATTAAGAGTTTTAGTGGGCTTATTTTGGATGGTGAATTCTTGCATATGAGATGTTGTGCACACATATTAAATTTGGTTGTTAATGATGGCTTAAAGGACATGCATGCTTTTATAACAAACATTTGAAATGCTATTAGATTTGGGAGGTCTTCACCTTAAAGGCTAGCTAAATTTAAAGAGTGCATTGATTCTGCTAAAATTTCTTCAAAAAAAAATAGTATGTCTTGATGTTCCAACTAGATGGAACTCAACATATTTAATGTTGGATTCTGCTAAGAAATTTCAAGTTACTTTTTAGAAGCTAGAATTTGAAGATGCAGTTTATTTGAATTATTTTGGGGCTGCTGGTACCCTCTACAAGTATTGATTGGGAGAATGCTAGAGCTTTTATTAAATCTTTTAAGATATTTTATGATGCAACAAATATTTTTTCTACCTCCGTTCAAGCCAATATACATGTTGCTTTTCACTGTCACAAAGCTCAGAGAACACTAACTAACAAGTGTACTAGGTAGTTGTAGCAAGTAATACAATTTAGAATTTAGTTTGAGTCCTAAGTATTGTCCTCAGGGATTAGTTATTTCAATTACCACTTTACAAATCAATAACTAGTTGAGCTAAACAAAATTTGGAGTGTTTTGAGCATTCGCAAACAAAAGTAATAAATTGTAGAAATCAAAAAATCATAGCAAAATAGAGTAACGAATTTGGTAATGGAATGATATGTAAATGAAGTTAGGAACAATTTCACCTCTTTATCAATTGCAAAATTGAATGAAATCTGAACTATAAGTTCCTTAATTGATTAATGATCAATTTCACTACATTAATCAAGTTTAATTCCTTGACTCATTGATCCTAATATTCAATTAGCTGTAACACCTCGAGTTTTTCTAATTCTTTTATGACAATTATATATGCATATGTTGTAACTTGAAGTGCATTTTGATTTATGTTGGTGATGTGGTATACATATATGTGTTGTGGTTTAAAATATGGATGTTGACTTATGGTTGGGCTGGAAATACTTGCGAATATAGGCTGATAGATACTATATTACAGGAATGTTTCTCGCTGTAGTGAGAAGGGTGCAGGTGATGAAAGGGCTACTGTGGCGTTCTCGCTGTTTGCCATAGCGAGAAGGTAATAGAGAAGGGTAATTTTCTGTGTTTATTCCCGCTGTAGCGAGAGGGTTGATGATGGTTTATTTTTTAGGTGTTTAAAAGATTTGTCGCAAATCCTCATCAAAATTTAAACAATTTAATGTAGTACTAGGGTTACCCTAGATTGTCTCCCGTGAACATTGGCTATTAATCTTCATTAAACATGTTGAAGGCATTAATTGAACAAGCAATTAAAATGGGGGGGGTTTTGTGGTTTCAAATCAAAATAAAGAGTAACAAACAAATGAGTTTAATTAGTTCAAACAATAGGAAGCAGCAATCCTTAGTTCATCCACAAAGATTCTATCCTCATTCCACTCAAGATTTAACATTCATCCTTTCTTCCATGAATTAGGTTAATTTAACAAGCGAAAATCAACCTTATGGTCCCAACGAAATTACGCAATTTGTTAGGCTCTAATCTCTCATCCCAAAATTACGCAACCTTAGAATTAAACCTAGGATTAAGCAATCCCTAGTTTAGAATCTCCTTAAAATGAAATTAGGGTTAATTGAGCAATACCCCCCTCATTCACCATTAAATCAATTCAAGAGACAAGGAAGAAGTAATTCATGAAAAGAAAGGAATTATATTATCATTAAATTCAAGGAACTCAAGAATCTATGCGGACTTACTAAGGATTACACAAAATTTAGCCCTCCATGGAAATGGGGGTCAAAATCGCAGTTGGAAAATGCAGAAAACTCATTAACATTAATGTAAAAGGAAGAGAAATGAGAAACTAAACCCTAGGTTGGACCCTTGGCTGTCACCCAAGGTTGCCCTAAGCTCTGGAAAATATCCTAAATTGAGTAAAGAAGAAAAAAGGTTCAAAAAGTGTAAGAACTCTCTTACCCTAATTTGGTAAAAATCTATTTATACTAAAGCTGGCGCCCTCCAAAGTAGTTACTCTCATTCTTTCATAGTAAACACGCGCAGCATCAGTTGGGTTTTGCCTCTCTGGAGTGATTACTATGAATATTCATAGTAATCACGCGCAGCACTAGGACAATTTGGACTCTCTGGAGTTGTCACTATGAATTTTGATAGTAACTACGCGCAACACCTTCAGTTCTCCATGCTCTGGAGTGACTACTATAAATATTCATAGTAACCACGCGCAGGTTTAGTGGATTCTGGGTTGCTGTAGTTGTCACTTTAAGCTTTGAAAGTGATCACTTTGGTCCCTTTGCTGGAAATGGCTTGCTGTAGTTGTCACTATCAATTTTGAAAGTAGTTACTTTCACCTCAAATTCCTCAAAATCCAATAATTCTTCAAAATAAGCTTGGGGATTCCTGCCACATTATTCAAATGATCAAAACATGTAAAATAAACTATATAAATCAATGTAAATTAACTAAAAACTAAGAAACCTATATTATTTAGCCTAATTGGAATATTCATCTTATTTTCACTATCTAAGTCTATTCTTTTCTATAAAAAGTAATAAATGATGTATAAAAATTTAGTAAAATGTGGATTCATCACAACCCAAACTTAAACTTTTGCTTGTCCTCAAGCAAACCAAAATTCAAGGACTTAAGTAAAAAGGGTTAGACTTACCCAACAAAAAAAAAATTCAAAATTTTCTGTTCCAATTTTTCAACTCTAATATGCATTTCCTCCATTTCAAAATCATGGAGTTATTCAACAAAGAAAGCACACTCATATCAATCAATTTTATGCAAAATCCCATACAAGTGAAACAAAAATTCAACAAGGTTCATCATACTTCACACAATGCAAAGAAATTATCTAGCTCACAAGGTGGTGTTTCACTCTTCACTTGTCAGTGTTTCAAGCTAGATATTTTCCCTCAACACATGCAAAGTGCTCTACCCTACCATATGCTTGCCCATATTCTCAATCTCCTTTGCCTTAATACAATGATTTACCTATCGAAAGAACTTGGTTGGCCACAAATAGGGATAGGTAAGGTTCAATTTGATCAAGGAAGGTCAAAAGCTCAAGTGGGTTTTCAAGATAAGGGAATCCTTTTGAGTGAGTGAATACATCAATTAGAATGAAATGCATCAAATGAGGTAGCCTAAGAGGTTCAAGCATTTTTCACCTTGTTTTTCATCATTTTTCATTATGTGAAGATCTCTTCAATCTCTTGGATCTTGCTTCATTTTATTTTCTTTCCTTTTTCATTCTTTCTTTTATGATTTATTGGACTTTGGCGACCACTTTTTTTTTTTACATGTATTTTAACATGTATAATGTTCACCACCCCAAACTTGAGAGGTTGCTTGTCCTCAAGCAACTACCATCAAAATCAACACCCCAAACTTGGTATTTGCATTCACGCTTGATGTTACTCAAAAGAAATACGTTCTTGATGGAAGGAAAAAAATGTTTTGGCAAACTAAGTTTTGGCAAAAGAAGAGGATGTAATGCAATAAGGTGCAAAGGTGGGCAATGATGAGTGGGTGTGTGTGTGTAAAGGAGGCCTCAATCATCTAGATAAAATTGCATAATGCATATTCAATTAAGAAACAGGGCAAGTTCTGGAGAATAAATGCAAAATGACATGGAATATACACACAGAAAGATAATTAGGGGCTCAATTCTCTACCATGGTAAAAATGGTGGTAATTACTTAACATCATGTGAGGATAAATCACCTTGCAAGAAAAGATATTCAGCATGGCATGGAGAGAAAATTATTTACAAAAGTAGAGTGTGTTCATGAATTGAATGAAAATTGCAATAAGAGTCTAAGATTGGAATTACAAAATTAGGTTCAATGAAAAAGAAAAAGAATAAAGATATATTTTTGTATTTTAATGTATAATTGTCCAGGGAAAATGAGGTTAAGAGTATATGAAATAGAGGCAAAGACTTTACCCCCCTTTCATGAATGATAGTGCCTCAACTCATGGGCAAAAAAAATTATGATTCTCTTGATGGAACTGAGGGCATTCTCTGCACAAAGAGACAATAAATTCAGCACCAGCAGAACAAAATAATTCAAACTCAGATAATATATATATATATAGCATGAAAGAGTTAAGTTGTTGTTCAGAGTAGAAGCAGTAAAGGGAAGATAAAGGCAGGGAAAATAAAAAGAAAACTGTACTAATTACAGGGAAATTGGCATAAAAAAAAATATGTACAATGAAAGAAAAAGGTAAATAAAGAACAGAAATAAAAATTTAAAACTATATTGCATCCTCATCAGAGCTGGAGGAGAGGTCATCATCATCAGCTGCATCAGTGTTAGTGTCCTCATCATCCTGCCCGTCTGCTGCTGCAACTGGGTCTGGTACTGGCTCACCCTCAGAGCTGCTATCTTCCTCTTCCTCCTCCTCTTCTTCTGTAGGTGTGAAAGGTGGGAGATCATTCTGAACTGCTGCTCGAAGATAAGGGGCTGGGAAGTGGGGGCATAGTAGATATGGTCAGCAGTCATCCCCATCTTTTTCCCCATGTTGAGTAACATGGTCTCTACAAGGGTCAGAGCAGCCTTCTGACCAGCATGTATAGCATCTTGTCGTAGAGCTATTTCCTTCAGCTGGTCTTTCATTTTAGAAGGAAGGCCTTTCTTCCCTACAGCTTGGGGAGGTATCTCTGGGGCTGAGCTCTTCTTAGCTTTAAATAGTTCCTTCACCATAGCTGTGGTGATGCAAGGAGCTGCTCTGATTTTCTGCTGATACTCCCCAAAGTCAACTCCAGCATCCTGGCAGAGCATAGTAATGATGGAGGAAAAACCCATGGAGTCCTTCTTCCTAGCTAGGATCTCCATGATGGCATTGCTGATAACATCGCCAACATGGATGGGCATCCCTGTCATGATGGCATAAACTAGCTCTGCCCTCTTCACTGCCAAGGTAGATGAGTGCATGACTAGCATGACGGAGCTAAGGATGAAGATGCTCCAGACTTTGGTAGGTGGAAGGAGGTGCTTTGTAGTTAGGTTCTTGGGCTGGAGCTTCATGTCAAACTCCCAGTTCTCTCCAGCCTTGCATATTGCTTGAAGCATTGGCTTGTAGTCCTTTTCCTCCAAGTAGCTGAAAGTAGTGTAGTCCAGCTGTCCAGGCCTCTTTTTAGGAAGAAGGATGTTGAGGATCCTCTGGATGTTGACAGGGTTGAAGTCGATCACCTTGCCTCTGACCATGGAATGCCTGTAGGGGAAATCATCTCCCTTAACCCTGAAGGCATTTGCATAGAACTCTTGGGTGATGTCCTTCCACCCATGCCCAGCACATGTGGTGAACAAATCCCACCCCCTTTTCTGGATTTCCTGCTCAAATTGGGGGTAGGTCCCTTTTTGCAGGTCAAAATTCCTGTCCTGCACAATGTGTCGCCTGAGAATATTGGCTTTGAAGAAATTCTCATGAGCCAGGGATCGAAATCTGGGATGAGGCCTAGATGAAGAGGCAGCAGCTGTCTTGGCTCTCTTGGCCCTGGGTGCGTTCTTTCTGGGAGTGTTTGCCATTAATCTGCACATAGAAAAAGGAATAAATGAGTGATAGTGCATAATTAACCCTGTAGCAAGAATTTCATACCATTTGGAAATGAAGGAGAGAAAATGCAGGCAATTTACGGCATTGTTGCAGCAGAAAGTAGCTACTGTGATGAATGAAAGCAGTTACTTTGGCAGTAAAGCATGACAGAATGCAGAGGTATTATGTGGATATAATTTCATAGCAAATGTGCAGAAATCAGAGAAAATTAAGACAAATCAGAGTAGTTCTGCATGCAAAAGTAACTACTATGTTAGTTGGTAGTAACTACTTTAACAGTGAAAGATCAGACAGTTAAACACATGCAGAGTGATCACTATGAATTACAGGTACCTACTATGACAGCAATAACAGTTCCAAAATGAAGTCCATAATCCATATGTTTAAAATGTAGAACAGCATATGTCATATAATGAATCATGGTTTGCAAAAGAGGTTCATTTGATGGTCTGGAAAATTTAAACACAGTGTGCATTTGGATCCAATCAAATGAATTCTCAACTTCTGAATCAGGCTGTGAAAATGCAGAGAGCATAAGAAAATGCAGAGAACATATATATAAAATGCAGAGGATGAATTCCACTAGATCAGCTAAGGTAAAAACCATGTGCAGCAAGATAGGTCTAATTTCAAATCAAATTTCCAGAATTCAGAGCAAGTAGTAAGTGAAAATGCAATTACATGGTAGTGCAACTGAATCAGATCAGGAATGAGTGTATGAAATGAGCAGACACAATATATTCACAGAGAGTAGTTACTATGAATGTTGATAGTAACTACTCCAGAGCAAAAACACTTCAAATTCAGAAAGGGAAAATGCAATTTGATTTCTAACCATGAGAATATGAATTTTTAATGCATAGAAATCACATTCCAGACTAAAACGAACCTAGGGGAAGCAGAATTTCAGCATTACCTACATAGTAATCACTACGAATTATGAAAGTAGCTACCCTAGGGTTCAAACATGACAATTTGCACACACAGGATCAAATTAATCACCCTACTAACTAAATCATGTAGTTATCCTTGCAAAAACTGATTCTAACCAGTAATTTCAACTCAAATTGGTTCTAATTAAAAATCCCCAATTGAAAAATGAAGAACCCTAACGCAGAGAGTGAGGAAGAGGAAATTACCTAGATTGGAGTTCAAATGCAGTGCAAAAGTGTAGGGAGTTGACGTTCAGATGCAAAGAATTTAATTCGAGGGAGTGGGTGCTCAGGAAATTAGAAGAAGAGTGAAAAATTTCTCAGAAATGAAGAGTGAGAGTGAACGTGAAACAGGTCCTATTTATATAAAAATGTTGGGCGTAGTTACTCTCAATATTCATAGTAGCCACGCGCAAGGGTTTCAGCAAAAAGGGGTGCGCGTGGTTACTATGAATGTTCAAAGTAATCACTCCAGAGGCGCCTTTTCTCAGTTGTTTTAAAAGAGGTTGCGCATGGTTACTATGAATATTCATAGTAACTACGCGCATCAAATGTTCAAAAATTAGTTTCTGTAGTGGTTACTATGAATATTCAAAGTAATCACTACAGAGGCGCCCTTTAAGTGTATTTTCCCAGGGTGCTGCGCGTGGCTACTATGAATTTTCATAGTAGTTACGCGCAGACCAATGAATTCAAAAGCCCTCAAAGTGGCCACTATGAAAATTGAAAGTGAGAACTACAGAGAGCAAAGTCACATACCTTGGTGGAAAGTGACCACTATGGCTTGGGAAAGTGATTACCTTCATGGCAAACTTCAAAATTCTTTCTAGAGTGAATGCTTGATGCCATGGAAATGATTATTTCTCCCTCTCTACTTGGACTTCCATGAATATATGTACAAATTGAGTCCAAATACAACAATTTTTTTTTCTACAAAAATTATGAACAAATCGTCAATCAAATAATGAGTCAAGTGTTGAACAAAATGTTTGTGCAAAATGAACTAAGTAACATGACTAGTAACACAGCTCAAATGAAAGAATGCTTATTGAAATTAAAAGAGAACAAGAAAGTGCTATAAAACTGTGAGTTGTCTCTCACAAAGCGCTTCTTTAACGTCACTAGCTTGACGTTTAATGGAGCTTTCACTCCAAAATAGTTAAAGAATCAAGATCAGCTGGAGGTTGATCTAGGAAAACTTCCTCCACATTGGTCTCAAGTGTAGGATTCCCATGGAAAGGCTTTAGGCAATGTCCATTCACTTTAAAAACCTTGTTTGTAGATTCACTTTTTACCTCCACTGCTCCATAGGGAGAAATGGAAGTCACAATGAAAGGTCCGATCCACCTAGATCTGAGTTTTCCAGGCATGAGCTTCAAACGGGAATTGAACAACAAAACCTTTTGACCTATGAAAAACTCCTTTCTTGCTATTTTTCCATCATGAAAGGCCTTTGTCTTCTCCTTATAAATTCTGGAGTTTTCATATGATTCAAGGCGAAGTTCTTCTAATTCTTGCAAGTGCAATTTCCTTTGTTCTCCAGCTTTGTCTATGTCCATATTACATGCTCGCACTGCCCAATAAGCAAGATGTTCTACTTCTACTGGAAGGTGGCAGGCTTTTCCATAGACAATTCTGTATGGTAACATTCCTAAAGGAGCCTTGTATGCTGTTCTATGAGCCCAAAGAGCATCATCAAGACGCTTGCTCCACTCCTTCCTATTTGGTTGAACAATCCTTTCTAAAATCTTCTTAATTTCTCTATTGAGGAGCTCAGCCTGCCCATTGGTTTGGGGGTGATAAGGTGTAGATACTTTGTGCAATACTCCATACTTTCTCAGTAGAGCCTCAATGGTTCTATTGCAGAAGTGGGTACCCTGGTCACTAATCAAAGCTTGAGGTACTCCAAACCTACAAAACAAATGAGTACGCACAAAATCTGCAACCACTCTTGAATCATTAGTTCTTGTAGGCTTAGCCTCTACCCATTTAGAGACATAGTCTACAGCAAGCAAAATATATAAGAAACCAAAGGAATGAGGAAAAGGACCCATGAAGTCTATACCCCAAACATCGAATACATCACAGTATAAAATGGATTGTTGAGGCATTTCATGCTTCAAGGTGATTACCCCTCCAGTTCTTTGGCATTTCTCACATGTAGAACACACTTGCCAAGAGTCCTTGAAGATTGTAGGCCAATAAAAACCCGCATCCAGTACTTTCCTTGCAGTCCTTTGGGGCCCAAGGTGGCCTCCTACAGTGGATGCATGACAGAAATGCAAAACTGATGCAGTTTCTTCCTCAGGAATGCATCTCCTAATCACTTAATCACTACAGAACTTCCACAAATAGGGATCATCCCAGAGGTAATGCTTGGCATCATTCTTGATCTTTTCCCTTTTACTCCTTGGTGCATCTGCTGGAAAAACTTCTGCAACTAAAAAATTTACAATATCAGCAAACCAAGGCAACTTTGAAGTATACAACTCTAATAATTGCTCGTCAGGGAAATCATCTTTTAAAAGAGTGAGTTCAGGGACTCCCTCTATCCTGCTCAAATGATCTGCCACCAAATTTTGTGCTCCACTTCTATCGTTTATCTCTACATCAAATTCTTGAAGTAGAAGCATCCACCTTATTAGCCTTGGCTTTGAATTTGTCTTTTTCAAAAGGAACTTAAGAGCAGAATGATCAGTAAACACCACAACTTTTGACCCTAGCAAGTATGATCTAAATTTATCCAAAGCAAATACTATGGCCAATAGTTCCTTTTCAGTTGTGGTATAGTTACACTGTGCAGGATCCAAAGTCCTAGATGCATAATAAATGACATGTGGATCCTTACCAAACCGCTGTGCTAAGACAGCACCCACAGCAAAATTGGATGTGTCACACATGAGCTCAAATGGAAGTGTCCAGTTTGGTGGCTGAATGATGGGGGTTGTGGTAAAGGCTGTCTTTAGGCAATCAAACGCCTCTTTGCACTTGGCTCTAAACTCGAAATCAATATCTTTCTGCAGTAACTTGGAGAGAGGAAGGGCTATCTTGGAAAAATTCTTGATAAAGTGCCTGTAGAAACCTGCATGGCCAAGAAATGCACGCACCTCTCGCACACAAGAGGGGTAAGAAAGCTGTGAAATGACATTAAGCTTAGCAGGATCTACCTCAATTCCCTTCTCAGATATTATATGACCTAAGACTACCTCCTGCCT